TGTAATGGTTGGGACACGCCCCTTTTGAAAATATCTGCTTTCACAGTTTCGCTTCACGAACTTGTTTTACAACGAGTTTTTCATGGTCTTTGTTATGATGAGAGTTTTGTACAAAAGCTGAGTACTAAAGCTGTTTTGTGACGAGCAGATTTTGAAAATAATTATTTACGGAGGATTTTATGAAGATCAGAAAAGTTAATATAATATTTGTCAGAAATGACCTGGAAAGAAAAATTTTGAATTTTACTTTTGAAAATTTACTTTTGAAAAAAATAACTTGAATATTCAATTCAGTGAGAGAAAGCTTTACTCAAAGGGGTTTCTTTATACCGACTTATAACCTCTATCTTTTCTCCGGCTCTCTCTTTCCCTTTTTTTTTCTTCTTTTCTCAGGCTTTATTTTCACTACTGTATAAGCATTGTTCATAACTGCAACGTTCACTCTCATCTCCATTTATTGATCAGCAATTTAAATGTATGATATCAAGGTATTCATGTCTTTTATTCATCACTCACGGGCTTATTATGAACCGACATAATGACCAGCTCCCGGTTAGCTTTTTAGCTCAGATGGTAGAGCACTGCACTGGTATCACAGAGCTTATGGATTCAACTCCCGCACAAGCCCTTATTTATTTTCACTACAGTTAGGGTCGGTGCCTACTATTGCTACTACACACACCGGCTGCTTGATTTTGGCCTTTAATTTTGCAATATGGTGCGGAAAAACAATGCGAACATGTTCTAGAACAGATAAGATCTCTCGAGTTTCACATATATTTTACAACGAGAAGAATTCTATTCAATATGGGTGGAATTCAAAGCGAAGCTGCGCTAATTGGAGACCTTCCTTTCAGTCAATTCAACAATAATTATGACAACTTCTCTTACAAAAGGATCTGTGCTGAATTTGGAATTAATTATCACAGTTTCCGTATCTGGGGCAAATTACGTCGTAAGAATGCTTCTTATTTATGCTGCTGGCATAGGACTTATGTTAACTGAAATAAATTACCTTGATTTTGGTGGGAAGTGAATCAATCAAAGGAACCCTTATCTGCCTCACTAGATATGACGAAGGTGCCGATAAACAGTATAATTACTTTGTATCATTAACCACAAGCTGGCATGGCAAGATTAAATTACATGTAATCAATAGAAGCATTGTAGAGTCGCAAGTAAATGTTCGTTCAAGCATGCTAGGAGGTTCTGGAAGTGGCAAAGAGGTACAACGTGAGTTTCTGACACTGATGAAAGGGCGAGACATTTCCAAAAGTACAGCGAATGGTTTGTACCTGGGGGTAACATGTAATAGTGTAGTTTGATCGTCCGGGTGAGTGTAGTTCTGAGAAGGACTGTTGTCGGTAATGGTGACTGACGTTTCGACAACCTGAGCGGAAGTTATCATCAGAGTCAGGTGAAAAAGTCGAATGTACTTAGTCCGGTTTGTATAAACTGATTGGTCAGTTTTGCTGCGATGTTATTGGCTGTAAGACTCAAGTGGCATAAGTCAGTCGTGATTGGTTGGTTTTGATCCGTTAGTGAAGTTAGGTCGTTCTGTTCGGTTCGTTTGTAATGTTAATGTAGTGAATGAGTCGTTTGTATGTATTGGAGTCTGTTCCAAGTTAGTAAACCAGCTTTCCAGGGTCAGTCGTTGAAAATAGTTGGTGCTGTAGGTTAGGCATTGCGCAGAGTCCTAGTCAATAATGTGGTTCGTAAGTCGGTGATTTTCAGCAATGTGATTGTTAACATCGCCTTTCGTCGTCGCTCGTTTGTGTTCAGTCAGTCTAGTTTTGAGGTTTCTGCCAGTCTCACCGATGTAGGAGGCGTGGCAGTCGGAGCAATTGATCTTATAAACTGCTCCTTGTCTGTTCTTCAGTTCGTCTTTGTCTTTGACGTTGGTCAGTGACTGACGTAGTGTGGTAATAGGTTTGTGAGCGACGCGGATATTGAATGGTTGTAGGATGCGCGAGATGTTCTCAGATATGCCTTTTATGTATGGTATAGTTGCTGTGGTCGTAGGAGTTGCGTTGTCGTTAGCGTCGGTAGTAGTACTAGTAGTAGTAGTAGTAGTAGTAGTAGTAGTTTTTTTCAACGAACAACGACGAAGACTTCATCCAACGTAACACTCACAGACCTACTACTACTACCGAAGCTAACGACAGCGCAACTCTTACGACCACAGCAACTATACCATACATAAAGGGCATATCTGAGAACATCTCGCGCATCTTCGGACCGAACAGAACGACCTAACTTCACTAACGGATCCAAACCGACCAATCACGACTGACCTACGCCACTTGAGTCTTACAGCCAATAACATCACGGCAAAACTGACCAATCAGTTTATACAAACCGGACTAAGTACATTCGACTGACAACAACCTTTCACTTGACTCTGATGATGACTTCCGCTCAGGTTGTCGAAACGGCAGTCACTATTACCGACAACAGTCCTTCTCAGGACTACACTCACCCGAACGATCAAACTACACTATTACATTTCCAAAAGTGTTCAGATATCCCAACTTACAGTAGATGACTCGAAAGTAAGACTCGATCGAGCAATCTCACCAGGAACCTGGCCTATGCGCCCTTACCTTTAATTGAACACCGGAAGCACAGTTGGCTATATCAATCAGCTGAAGATCACAGAAACAGGAATCAATCAATAAACTTGAAAACAAAGAAAATTGTTCCTAGACTTGAAAGTGGAAGGCCGTCAACCATTAATAGACAAACTTCATATCTATCAAATCGAGGAGTAAAATAAAAGAGAGAGAGAAAAAATAATCACGAAATGTTGAAGGCAGGACTAATACAAGCAGGAATTGCAGGTGCTTATGCCCTCTCTCGAATCTTTTGATTCAAGAATGCAGTAACTCCTGGAAAAAAGCCAGGCATTTATACTAAGGAAAGTTATCACTTCCCTAGCAGTTCTCGGCTTGTTATTTTACCTGCAAGTCTTACGAGAGAGCATATTGGCAACCTTTTAACCAAGAGTTTTTAATCCGTTTCCAAAACCCCTGACGCCTGATCAGAGACCACTTTTCAGAGAACTGACGAAAACTCTGACAGTTCTTTCAACAGCTAATCAAACAGCCGTCACCGTAAAACCATATCGCTTGAATAGGTTTTAACTTTTCTCGAAGTTAAATTCTCTCTTCGAGTGCCTATCGCTCATTTTCAAGTACGTCAATGAAGTTTATTTTCTCGCTTATCTTTTCTCTTGGTGAAATCTTACAGGATACTGATGGTTTTTGATCTATTCAAACATCTACGAGAATTTTTTCATGAAAAATAAGGGGATAACAAATTACTCGGAGGAATACGATCAGATGACCTTTGCAAACATCAAATGAGGCAGACAACAAAGATTCAGGTGTAGACAAGGAGAAGAAGCTAAACTCTGTTCATGGAAAGGAGTACAGAACCAAAATAAACAATGAAATCCTAAATGATCACGGTGTGTTTCACCAAAAATCTCTGGCAGACGAACTAATATTTGAACTTGCAAGTAATGTAGTCAAAGGATCTGACAAACACAGTTGGATTATGAGTTGACTAACATCCAGCTGGAATGTGAAGTGATACACAATCAAAAATTCGGTTGAGGAAGCCTCCTAAAACTATCTAAATGGAAAACGGTTCATGTATGAGCATGTAACGATATAAAACTATAAAAATCGCCTGAGACAGATACAATGATTAATGAAAGTATCAACGATCTGCGAAGGTCAATGGAAGGATTGCCGGCTTCTTTTTTTCAGTGAACCATACATTGCTGTCTCTGTCTCTGTCTCTGGTACTGGCATCGATACTGAAACTGGTACTTGTGACGAAATACTGCTAGAAGTATGCCTGCATAAATTACTTGGCTATATAGAAGCGGTGAACATAGGCACGTGCAACTGAACTTATCACAATGAGTGCGCCACTAATTATCATATAATAATATGCGCATTCGGGTACAGTCAGTTATTTTTGCGGTCTTTTGAACATGTAACTGGTCGGTTTATGCTGACGTAATAAATGGGCTTTTTAACCCAAACTTATCGTTACAGCACTGACACTGGCACTGTCTCCGTCACTATCACCGTCTCTGTCACCGTAAGTGTTACTGTCTCTGTTACACTCGATATCATTGTCACTGCCCCTGTCACTGTCACTCTCCCTGTCCCTTTCCCTGTTACTATCACTATCTCTTTCACCATAATCATGTCCTACTATGTCACCGTCACTGTCTCTGTCAGTCACTGTCACTTTCCTTATAACTAACTCCATCTCTGTCACGGTCACTGTCACAATCCATGTGATCGTCTCTTTGACTAGTTTCAATCTGATCAGTGAAGCCTCTGTTTTTCTCTACCATCTACTCGATGAAAAGTTTTTCAATTCGTGAAGGATCTTACCGTAGTTACAGCCCTTAATCATTCGGGCTCTTTTGGGAAGTATTTCGTTAAGTTTTAGAAAAAAAATGAAAATGTTCTTTACCAGCCGAAGAGTGTCCGTATTGGAAAAAACTATGCCCTCTGTCTTTAATACCAGTACCATGGCCCAGTTTTTCCCAATAAACGGACCTCCCGGCTGGGGAATAATATACGGATATATGATGTACATATTATACTCTAGTCAAAAAGTATTATGCACAAACGCTGCGTTTTGATTTTTTAAATTATGACGAACGTTAATTTTTTATTTCCTATGCAGGATAAAAGTAATTCATGGAGAATTTCATACTTTTTAACAAATTAGACACAGACGAAACAATTAAAAATTTGGCAAATTTTTGTTGCGGATAATCTTAAAATGATTTTAAACTTATAACATGAGGGTAATTTTGGGAAACTTTGAAATTTATAGAACAAATCTCTTGACAACATTCCGAGGTTTTTTTTTGTTTTTTTTGTTTTTTTTTTGTCCAATCCAGCAGTCCAGTCCGAATACTTCTCTTTCTGAAGTACCCGCTGCGCCGGGAATATGGTGGCGAAGTGATAGTAGTACTCATTCATTTATAGATATATATGTATAAATATATTTATTTTTAGAAGGAAAACTGTCTTACATTAGCGGTTGGAAATCAAGAAATACTGTACGATGGAGTGCTTAGTAATCTGCTGCCAAAAGAGCCATGATCCAATACCCCTTCCAGATGGAGAGAGTGTATTACTTGGCAGAGGCCCTCTGACCCAAATTACAGACAAGAAATGCTCCAGAAATCAAGGTTAGTTTACTCCTTATCCAGTTTCATCTACCGAAATCACCGATGGATTGGTTAATTGATTACCAAATGTCAAAAAATATATCCTATAAAGCAATAAACGCCTTAATAATGACAAATAATGATTTCCTCTCGCGTATAGCTCTAGCACAACATTCTTCCCTTCCCGGCTCGGTTACTCACGGACGTTTCATACTCAGCCGTCTCGTAGCCGCCTAGGACCATTCACAGTTTCGTTGTTTCTTACCAATACTTATAAATTATGTTTCCATGGTAAGTAGGTTTAAAGTAAGTTCGGTTTCTTTATAAAATAGAAATGTAGTATCAGTGTTAAACAAGTTTTTTTTTCTGCATGTTGCGCGCGTTTTTATGCACGACCACCGAACGTAAGCCCCACCAGGTAAACTTTGGTTATTTATATACCATCCTGAGTGAACTTACTTCACAACCAAATAATTTAATTATCAAAGCTAAACCAATCTTGTTCTTTTTTTCTTAATTTTTTCTTAATGTTTAAATGAAATGAATGCTTTTGCTTTCTATTGTGAATCAATCACAGACGTCAAAGTTACCTTGCACTTGGCAAAAATCAAGTTGTTGTTTTTAAGAAGTTCGCGAGTATGCACAAGAAAAACTCTTCTTATATCTTTACTTGTTGGACTCTTTTTTGACTTGACATATGCAACTATTGACATCTGTTCATCCTCTTGCATGTGAAGTTTGTGGCAACTACAGGCCGGTTTTGTTGTCAAGCATTCTAAGCAAGATCCCAGAATCTGTGGTAAATGACACAATCCCATGTCACCTTTAACAGAACTACAGGACATTGACAGAACTATTACTAACACAACCTCACAGAAACATGGATAAAAGCACTCAACTCAGTTAAGCCTTTGTAAAGTTCAAAAAGGCCTTAGACAATGTTTCTCATTCCATCCTTTTAACGTGACTGGAGGATTAAGACTTTGATGTAGCAGGTCCACTACTCCACTGGATCAAAAGCTGTCTTAAGGGAGGAGCCAATTCATAATTGTAAATTGCACTAAGTCTGACACACTACTAGTCCAATACCATTATCCCCCCTCCCCCGTAAGGATTGTTCTTAGGACCAACCTTTCTCTTCCTGTTTACAAATGACCTGCCATCTCATGTGATGGGAGAGTGGTTAAAGCAATATAGCACTGCTGAACAGAGCTCTAGACAAATTGCAATAGTGGTGCCTAAACAACAGACTCGCAATCCATCCAGGCAAAAGTGAGGCTATGTTACTCTGTCAAGGAAATCCCCAAGATCCTCTTCCACCCATCACTTTAGGAAGTGTGGTAATTAGTTGGATAACCAAATCGAGACTGCTGAGAAAGACAGTAGATGACAAGCCAACCTGGCTTCCACACTTACTGGAGCTCAAGAAAATATTTGCTAATTTAAACTTTCTCCATAAATCAAATTACTTCTGACTAGCGTTTGCCTCCATCTCAATTGTTAAGTGATTCTGCCCTCATTGTTGTATGGTCTTGTCTTGTGGGGATGCTTCTGTAGCAGTGAAATACTTCAGCCTCTATCAGGGATCCACTGCAAAGCAGCTAGACTTATTTTTAAGCTTCCCTGTAATTTGGAGCTCATCAAGTACTAAAACAAGGAAAATGGTGGAACCTGTATTTTTACTGCAATCTGCAGTTTTTTTAGGTATCCATAAAACCTACCAAAAGACTACAGACTATAACTGATCACATCATATCCAGACAGACTGTGTGATATATGTCACTAGTGCAAGATTCATTCATTATCCATCATGTGCTTTGACTGTGCTGCATGAAAGACTCCCTAGCACCCAAAGGTGCACTACTCTAGAACTGCTTGACAAGCAAACATTGTGAATTAGTCAGCTTCACCTGTTATGGGAGCCTTCGGCTGAAACTGAGATTGTTAGATAGTTTTAGGAATTTTAGATTCAAAGATTTTATCTATACAACACCCAGATAAAAAGTCCCACAAGCTTTACAGCTTTGATATTTATTGTTTTAAAGTGAAGGATTTGATTTGATGTGGATTGATTTGAGGTTTTCTGAGCAATCCTCTGGGTTTCGATTGTCACTGAATGAGATGGATATGAATCAACCAGCAAATCATTCAATTTTGGGTATGAATTGACTGAGTACAAATGTCTATTGTTACAAACATGACTGGATGCCCCCTGCCCCTGTTAATTTTTAAACCAAACTTTTCATGTACATCCATACCTTGATATATGCATAGCTGAGAGCATGAGCTGATTCTAAAATGACTTGATAGACACAACTTGTGGACAAGTAATCAGACTATTGACATAAAGGGGGGTAAGTTTGTAAAGAAACTGTGGTGCTGTGTTGGTGGGAGAGTATAACAGGGTACTTTAGTATTATCAACTGAGTTGATAATGTAAATTGGCCACCAATTTTCAAAGCTGACATTTTGAGCATTTGGCCCTTGTCAGAAAGAAGGGCTAACACTCAAAATGTCAGCTTTTAAACTCTGTATGTTGGCCTATTTATGTTGTCAACTCTGTTGATAATACTAAGTTACCAGAGTATTGACATAATTTGACATGTGATTGCCCAAAGGCTCAGAATATTTTCAAACCTTTATGAGGGAGACCTACAGTACTTCAATTTTACTTGAGTGTGCCTTCTTATAGTGAATTAACGAAGTACAAAAACTTAACAGATTTCTTTACAATTTGGCTTGAAGACTCCCACAATACCAACCAAAGAAATCATTTCCATTTTTCGTAATTGAGCTCTCAGGATGGCTTCTGATGTACCACAAATGGCTAAAATTTTTGAAAACAAATTTGACAGGAAAATTGCAAACTAACCGTAGGAATGTCGAAAAATCCCAACATGGTTTCAAAGACCAGTCCCTCAGGATTGAAAATGTGTGGAAGTTTTGTTTGTGAGGTCTCTTTGATAACCTGATTATTAATTCCCCAATTTCTTATGACCCACTAGGGATTTTTAAAATGCTATCTAGAATGGGACATTATTATGGCCTTTGCAATGCCATATGCATGGTACCTCTATGGTGCCAAAATTGAGTGATCAAGTTTGTTTGAATTTGCAGTTCAGCTCACAGCAAATTATGTAAAAAAGGAAGTGCTTGTTACTCAGGTAATTAGATTCAATTTTTTTATACTGACATTTGGGTTTGAGAAGTGAAGTCCTATTCAGGTTTTCCTGTGTTAACCCTTAACTCCTACAAGTGATCAAACTTCTACCTATAATATCCATACATTATCCAGCAAACAAGAATACCCAAACTCACCAGGTAGAAGTTGTTATCTTGATCTAATACCAAATTATCCTAACTTCTTTACAAAGAATTGTGTTAAAGCTGGAGGGAAGAATTAACAATCAGATCTTGGAAGTTTAAGGGTTAATTTGGTTTATTAAAGTGACACACATATCTGCTGTAGATTTGTTGTTGAAATTTTTTTCAAAATTTTTTTAATGCATTTAATTACCATGCCTGCAGTTTGTTACCTGAAAAATTCTTTCTTCTGTTCACCTCAATTGGTGGTCTGTTAGGGTTCTCAGATGTCCTTTTCACCAATAACATGTTGTATGTCACAAAATTTAATTGCTGGTGTGTAAGACAACAGAGAGTAAAATGCATCAAGCACTATATATATTTATTGAAAGCTTTTTATCAGGATTTGGAAGTCTTTGAAGTGACATCTGAGTTGAAGTAGAATATATTTGGTTGGTCATGTTTGGTGTAATATCTTAGTTTATTTATTTTGTGTCTTCCTATTGTTTTTTCTGTTTATCATTGAATGCATTTATGTATTCATTAATCTATGAAGTTTTAATTTCAAGATTAATAAAACTTTTTGCAAATCAGCTGGGTAACAATTCAAGTTCTGTTGGAGGAGCGAGTCTTAGCAAAGGAGACTCAACATCTCTTGGTCCTGGAGGAACTTTCTGTCTTCTTGGAGACAAGTACTCTCACTTCATCTATTTCAGTCAACTTCAACCATCTGAAAGAGATAAAAATGATGATGAACCTAAAGCCAAGAAAGCTTGTTTTGATACTTTAAGTGATTCAGATGATAATCTCACATCTGAAGACCTAGAGGACATACGCCGTGAATTTGGCCAAGAGATGGTGGAAAAGATACGACCACAAAACAACAAAAAAGTTGATCTTTTAAAAGGGGATCTAGATTCTTGTAATTTGAGGGAGTCATGGAAGGATATTGGAGGGGAGCTAATTGTTTTTACCTGTAGAGGGATGGAAGCAAGTTCTAAGGTATTATAATTATTAAATTAGGAACCTTCATTGCTTATGTTTTGCAATGATTTGTTGTGATGATATTACCTGCAACTTCAGTGTGCTTAGACAAACACTGAGTATTCCTTGGCTGCAGTTAGTACCTTTAAATTTAATTTTTAAAAGTTTGGCCAGATTATGCACTTGCCAGTGTGTTCCAGTCTTTATGACTAGACTAAAATACTTTTTAAGCTACAAGGTATTAGCAGGCTAATAGTTTAATGTGTTTTAAAATAATAAGTTCTTGTCTGTTAGGCTGTTTTTAACCTTCAACAAAGCTCCCAGTGAGGTTTAAAAAAAAAAGCAGCTGCAAATTGATTAAGCTGAAAACTATTTGCAACCTTATAATTGTAGTTCTGTTCCTTTGTGAATTGTTATTTTCCTCTAGGGTAGAGCAGGATGCTGAGCATTTCCCTTACACTCTTGGTTGGTTAGGGAAGGGAAAGGGTGGTAATTGCAAAAAAAAGGGTTTTAATGCTTGGTCTTTAAGAGTGATGATGCCTGTGCCAAAAAATCACAGATATTCACCCCTCCCCTCCTTCAGTCTGCCTTGGCTCATCAAATCTTTCAAGTATATTTTTAATGTCTACAAAAAATGAATTTCCTGATACTTAATAAAAACAGCTTCTTTTGCAGATTGCTGGTTTTGACTTGGATGGAACACTTATCACCACTCAGTCTGGGAAGGTGTTTCCTACCTCAATAACAGATTGGCAGTGAGTTCAATTGGAGATAAATTAGAACCTAGCCCACATTAGTGTCTTTCTATATTCATAATAAGTGCCTAAATGTATTACATTAACTGTATCTTTGTGTAAACTATTTCCCACATTTCAAATATTTGACATAATTACATTTACCAGAAATATATTGAATCTGCACATGGTCAAAATGACTTCAAAATCTGCTTTTCAGCTTAGCCTTCTAAATACTATCAAAAAAAGCTCGCGGTCAAGTAGGGAATTTTCTACTTATTGTTGGTCAGACACAAGTCAATTTATTATCCATTTGACTCTTAAGAGCAACTAGCATCTAAAGTAAAAAAATAACCCCTCCAATCACACATTAAGGTCACAAGATGATTTTTGGTTAAGCCTTAATAACTGGTTAATAACAGCTGTTTTATTGTTTAGAAACCCTTCTTTAGTTATTTATTTACTCTGTTCTGTCTAGAATACTATGTCCAGAAGTTGTTCCAAAACTGAAAGATCTTTGGCATAATGGATACAAGGCTTGTATCATCATTTTTTCCTTTCAACTAAATTGGTTAAAAACTTAAACAGGTTTGGCCATTTGACAGTATGTTTTTCATGTATCATGCTGGATACTTTGCAAAATTTATTTTTGTTATTTGTTTGTAATTTAATTTCTTCAATTTATTCCATTTCCTTAACAGGTTGTCATTTTTACAAACCAGGTATAGTTGAAAACTTGTATTTTTTCCCCTCAGTGTTCAAAATTGTCTAATCAGTGGAGATGTAAGCTATTATGTCATATGTCTTGTGCATAAGTTTACCAATGCTTTTCATGACATTGTCTCTTCCATTCCATGTAACAACAGTAAGAGCAGAATTATGGTTTACTCTGACAAAGGATCTTTTCAGTGTTAACTTATGTGAAAAGCTAGTTAATTGATTGACCTTCCCCTCAGTGTTCAAAATTGTCTAATCAGTGGAGATGTAAGCTATTATGTCATATGTCTTGTGCATAAGTTTACCAATGCTTTTCATGACATTGTCTCTTCCATTCCATGTAACAACAGTAAGAGCAGAATTATGGTTTACTCTGACAAAGGATCTTTTTCAGTGTTAATTTACGTGAAAAGCTAGTTAATTGATTGACCTATGGAATAGTTTTTGTTGAAAGTAATCAGTTTTTAAGAAAAGGTTTATATCAGTTTGTTGTAATGAATCAATAACTTCATGATTTATGTCATTTTAAATGCCAAAGATTTTCCTGACTTAAGAGAGGTGGATTATGTTTGTTCCATTGTTGATCATGGCAGTTAGAAAGTCACATTTAATGATCAGCAGCAAACAGATTGTACTGCTGGTCAAATAGCTTGTTTTGATAATTCTCTCTCTATTTTAGATTCTCTCATATGGGTTGTTTCATACTGGGGTTTTACAACACTATAAGTCCTCTGTTTTTCTACCAGCTTGGCATTTCCAAAAAGCAGTTAAAGGTAGCAGACTTTAAGTCCAAGATTGAGCAGATCATTAATTACCTCAAAGTACCTGTGCAGGTGAGATAAATTATACTCATGCCCTTGATCTTTCTGATTACTACTTATATTTTATGGTGGGTATTGATAACTGGTTATTAATATAAATCTAGACTACAGTGTGAGCATTTAAAGAGAGTGGGGACTGGCTTCTAGTTTATTCAAGCTTAAGCAATACTGCTTAAGGAGGACGATTTGCAAGACACTTCAAAATATATCACAAGTGGCCACGAAAGGAGATATTGTCAAAATTGACTTGATTTGACAAAAATTGAATGACTTGTCACAGTTGATGTTGACCTGTCATACCAGAAGTCAATTTGTAAGGCACTTAATTAGAAAATATTCTGCGAGTAACTAGGGAGGGGGTTGGAGATGTTGACGAATCAACTTGATTTGACTCGGATTGAACGACTCATCACAATTGATGTTGACCTGTCATACTGGAAGTTGATTTGTAAGACACTTAGAATCAAATTGACTTCCGGTGACATGGATCAACTTTGCTAATGACAAGTTGAGTCTACCTATGTGAGTTGTGTCAATTTGTAAACATTGACTACCCCAATTTAATGCTTACTTCTGTGAATCAACTTCTGGTGACGGATCAACTTTACTAATGATGAGTTGAGTTGGTCCTTGTGATTCGTCAACATTGAATACCCCAATTTAACGCTAAAGTATGTATTGTCTTCTTTTGTGGATTGAGATCCGATTAGATGCATCAACTTTACTAATGACAAGTCAAGTCGACCCGTGTAAATCATGTTGATTCGTCAACACTGAATACCCCAATTTAACACTTAAGTATGAATTGTCTTTATGTGCAAATCGACTCATGGTTAGATGGATCGACTTAACTAATGATGAGTCGTGTTGACCCATACAAATTGTGTGGATTCATCAACATTTATTATGCCCCTGTTTAATGCTCTAGGAGGGAAGAAGGTTCATTTTTATATTTATAATATTCTGATAATGAACTTCCAGCCATTTCACCCTTTAAGAACATGGAAGGTTCATGTAGTCATATTCTCTTTTCATGCTACCCATTTTCACACATTGCTAAGGCCACCCGACTTCCAGTATGTTTATGCACTATTCGACTTCTGGTATACCATGCTACTCATTTTCACACATTGCTTGCCACCCTCCACTTTCGGTATGTTAATGCACAATTCAACTTTCACTGTATCGATTTGTCAACGACTGTAGATGAATCATAGCACTTTGGGTGTATTGGACATGTATGGAAATTAGATGGCACTTGTCATATAGTCTTCCTTTTCTTGAGACAGGACATGTACTTCCCTGAAAGAGCACCTGGAACTCAACTTCACTTGCATTTGATATTTGATCTTTATAGGTTTTAATTGCAACAGGAAATAGTGTCTACCGCAAGCCGCTCACTGGAATGTGGAAGCACTTAATCACACAGGTATTACTTGTGGTAAACATTGTCAATATTTTCCCCAAAATATTGATATTTGCATGCATTAAGCAAGGCCCATGCATGCAATTCATCCAAATTTACTAAATTTTGTTTAATTATTATAGTAAGTAATCACAAAATTCACTACATTTCCTTAAGCATGACTATTTTTGGTGTAAGTGTTTCTTTTAGTTGTGAAATCTACATTGTCTTCCCAACCATTCCACTGGTGAAGAAATGGGAAACTGGAAGTGAGAGTCACGAGCCTCCCTTATTAGGTTTGCCTCCCAGTCCCCAACATCATTAGGTCCTCTGCTTGGGGGTGATACAATGGCTGAAATTTTGTCTGAGTACATAAAGTTGTCAAACAGATTAAACTGGCATATATCTGTTGCCACAGACTGTTGGCTAGAATGACATTTTTTCTTCCTTTTGCTCCATCTATGATCAAAATACACCCCTGTACTGTGGACCCACAAATGAAAAAGAAATGTCAATAAGGAAAGAAACAGGCTTCAAAGTCTTAAAATTGAAAATCACATCTTTCCCAAATATTTTGTTGCACTGCATGAGCAATTTGAACTCTTGTCTTCATTTGATTTTGGCTGCCATATGGCTATAAATTACACACATTTGGCAACTGGTTTACCATGTTATGAGGTTTTACCCATTTTATCTAATTTGACCTTTCTATGTGATATTTTTCTCTCTTCAAGTTGATTTTGCATATCTGTTTTTGCTTTATTTTACACATATTTGGCAGCTAATATTTACCATGTTTTGAGGTTTTACAAATTTCATTTGATGTAATTGACCCTTCTTTCTATCATGCAATCACCTTGTGAGCTTTTTCTCTCCTGGAGCAAGAGTCTTTGTTTTTCATTTCCCTTGCAGCTTCGCAACTGGCCCAAGCACTTTTTAACATAAATGCCAGCTTTGCACACTAGTTATTATGATCTTGCATTTAAAATGGCCTATGTATTACACAAGAAATCCCCAAACAAGCTTGAGTTATTCCTTTGTTTATTAGTTTCATGTTGTAAACCAAAAATGTGTAACGAAGGAACACCCTAAGAATTACATCAATAGAAATATCTATTGGATATTATTAATTTACTATTCTTCCTCCCAATAAAAACCTCACTACAATGTTTTCACCTACTCACTCACCATATTATCACATCCAGTGATAGTTTATCTCTTACCAGGTGTATTCTCTTATGTGGGGAGGTACTTGAGGCTTTTTCAATTTCAATGTTTGGTTTGCTCGTCTCTCCATGAATCAATAAGGGTACTTATCTAAGAAAAACAGACATTTATCTTTGTACTAGGCCAATGATGATGTTACTGTAGATGAAAAGGACAGTTTCTTTGTTGGTGGTAAGAGATCTACTGATGTCATAAACAGATTTGGACATTTATGAATTCAATGTGTTTTCCTTTAACATCAAGTAATATAGTATACCATGCACAAGATACTTATCTGAAGAAATTAGTTGCAATATGACATGACAGACTGATTTCAGTACCCAATGACACATCAGAACATATCCCTCTTTCTTTTCATCCTAGAGTCCCTTATTTGGTTATACCAGTAAAAGGAAAAACCTTTAAGTTATACAACCAAAGCTAGGGAGACCAACTTGAAATCACATTTCTTGTATCTTAGATGCAGCTGGGCGACCAGCTGGCTGGGAGCCAGGAAAGAAGAAGGATTTCTCTTGCAACGATAGATTGGTGACTGGCTTTATTTTTTTTTTATATCAGTTAGCTCTGTAAAACTGTATTTATTTTGTCACACATGTACACAAGGGGACTTCTTTAACACTGGGTAAACAGCAAAAACAATAAAAAATAAACAGCAAAAATTTAGTTTGTGAAACATCATTATATTTTTAGTTAGCTACAGGTGATATTAAAGAAAGAGGTTATTCATTTTGTCATAGGGGTGGGACAAAAAAAATCTAAGTCCACTATGAGGAAGTGAACCCAGACCTTCTGATTACATGTGCCAAAGCTCTGTATTTCTTATGTGCAATTCTCTTGGCAATCTATTTCAAACTTCATCATCCTTAATAACTTTGTGGTATTTGGGTGTCTGTCCTTAGGTTGGGATGTTTTTGGTTTGGGGGCACCAATAAATTTTAATCAATTCTAGGAAAGGGCTCAATAGAGAGAATGTGGCATTAAGCAAAACTTAGATGAGAAAATAAACAATCAAGGAAAGAGACAAATGATTCAATTTCATCATTTGATCCTTAATAATGGTGATATTGATTGCCTACACTTGTTTTACAATAATTTTCTCAATACCTGAAGAGAGTGCATGTCTACTCAGGTGACAGATAATAGCTGTTTTCCTACAAATGACTTCTGCAACATTTTTCATTGACTTTATAATAAATTTTTTAAAAATTAAGTTTGCAGAAAACATTGGAACACAGTTCCACACTCCAGAAGAATTCTTCCTAAAGTATAAGCCATCACCATTTGAATGGCCAAAATTTCTACCGGTATGTATTCTAGAGGGCTTTATGTTCAAAGGTATTTTAAAGAATGTAATATATAGAGGAGATGAGGGCACATGCATAAACTGCAGGGTCTGAAATTGCAACCAACTGGTTTCCAATACAACTGGAAATTGAGTGTTGGCAACAATATTTTAAGTTTTGGTAGGTCGGACCATACCAAACCTAATTTGTTAAGGACACAGACATTGTACCCTCCCATAAAAAACACTGAATTTCAGACCCAGCTTCCCATTTGACTGTATTTAATAGTTTTTCATTTAGAAACCTTGCTTGGGAATGAGTTTAGAATTAAACACCTGTGATGGTATGACCCTACCTCCATAACACACATCATATTGTATGTTATCTTCAGAAAAATCTAGATGCTAATGGATCTTTATTAAATCCATCAAATGCAAAGTTGAAGTCAGAAGGTCAAGAGGTACTGAAAAATGTAGAAAATTGACTCTTCTAGAGGTGGGCATTATTGTTCACTCTTATAAATATGTAGCCTCATTATGACTTGTTAAATCATTTTTAGCCCACCCTTCTGATAAATAGCTATTCTGATTTACGTCAACGTAGCTTTATAAGAGTTACTTAACATCCTTTGGCAACGTTATATTCAACAGATACATAGCTTATAGTAGTATAGTATATATATATGTATAGTATATAGCTTATAGTAGCAACTTTTCCTCCTTACAATTTTCTCCTTTTGTGTGGCAAATGTGTCACAATTGGCTAATATTTTACATATTCGAGTTAATCCCCATAATTGATCAACTGTAAATTGAAACCACGCAAAAGACAGTATTTTTAAGACTTTATCAAAGAACCCATCAGAAATAACTGACTTGCATTTGTCTTGTTACAGCTAATTGTTATGGTCGGATATCCCGCATGTAAGTAAATTGAGGTGAACAGGAAGGTCAGACTTGTCTTTAAACATAACCATTTGTAGAGCCTAACGGACTTCTTTACTTGTAGAGTTGCTCGTAACTATTTCCAAGACAAGCGACTAAAAGTACACACTTCTCTTCATTTAATTTTGCTTATCTGCATTCCTTTCTGTTTTAAATGTAACACAATGGAACTTTCCGTTCAATGTACACTCTTGGCATTAGGAAAAGTCTCTTTTGAAAAGAGGTGCCTCTTCAGTGTAGATAGTATGTGACTGTTACTATGTTTCTAATAATTTTTGTTGGGCAAAATATGATCTTGTTTCTGTTACTCATTTGATACCATTGACAATAGCTTGCAATTGCTTTTTCCCACGGAGTAGTCATAACCAAGTCGGACTTGATATTTGTTTTGCGAACAGGTTCATAATTTATTACGAATTCTGATTTCCCAGTTTCACTACGAGAATGCTCTGTGGTTCGTTAAATTCGTCATAACTAGGTGAAATGTGAGCGTTAAATCAATCTCTTCCCTAATTTTCTGTTTAGAAACTAGTAACAAATACAAAACAACGTTTTCTGTTCTATTCTTCATTCAGCTGGGAAAACCACCTTTGTTCAAGATTATCTTCTACCGCTGGGTTACGTCCAAATAAACAGGGTAAGACATTAGCGCTAGCTTCATATTTTTCACTGAAATGGTTCGATATAAAGCGCTGCTATTTCGCGGTTTCTTTGGCATGCTAAGAGATTGCCATTGAAAGCTCTTTCGTCATTCCTTGAATGTGTGCAAGACATTTGATGATTAACAGGTATGGAAAGAAAAGTGAAAGGGCAAAATTCTCGCCTTTCCTTTGAGGTGATAGAAAGCAATGGATCAGATCCACCAGCATCCTTTCCACGAAGAGATGGAAAGAGCAGCTGTACTCCTAGCCTCTTACTGGTATATGTAATTCAAGGCCTTGTTAGTTTACTTTAACCAAGGTAATACATCACAATATGATAGTAGGTAACGTGATTATCTTTGTTCTGTAGGATATCCTAGGTACATGGCAGAAGTGTGTTTCTGCTTGCAAGGATGTATTGTTATCGGGTAAAAGAGTAGTAGTGGACAACACAAGTCCAACAAGGGAAGCAAGAAAGAGGTACTAGTCACCGCTTTTAATCACTCCGACGTGTGTGCCCTGCAGTCTACAACTTTGCCTCTTAAAATATTTTCTAAAATTATAATTTTTATGAAGAAAACTTTACTATATGCAGAACTACTTACATCTCGTTGTAATGGTTTGTGAAAGATCGTCAGTAGACGGAACCGATAAAATTGTTATTATGATTATTACTTTTATTATAATTACTTTGAGGTAACAAGACTTGCCTTTTTTTAAGCCCTTAAAATGTGTATTTCTTCACTTGTGCACGTGATGGATAGTGTTGGCATGAACAGTGTACCTTGGTTTAAATGCGATGACAAAATTTTGTTTCATCACCAAATGACGTCGTTGTGATAAGTGTCCTATTGAATACGAGTTCAGTAATTGCACTCTAGTGGGTAACTGTTCGACTTTAAGCAGCCTTTGAGATTTGGTTACTTCTACAAAAATCTATGTTAAAAAGTTTTTAAAACGTTTCATTTTATATGTCAACAAATTGAAAGAAAATGACATAAAATTAACAGTGTGGCGTTTAAGGAAATCTCTTTTCAAAGCAAACTATTAAAATTATTTCGACAAAATGCAGCATTTAACCTTTTTTGCAATGAAATAACCTGTAAACTTGAAAATAACCATGAAATGCTTTGAATATTTATGTTCTGCTCCCGTATTGTTTGTACCTAATACACATTTGCATAATAAATGATGAAGTAGTACGAGACCCATAGCTATTTATCATGTTTTTCCTCAAGTCTGCCGATGGGTTATCAAGAGTCTGATCATATCTTGTGTTGCTTTTCATTAATTTCAGATACCTTGACTGTGCAAAACAAGCCAGGATAAGTGCTCGGTGTTTCTTATTTGACGTGACCTTTGAACACGCTCAACATAACAATAAGGCAAGTAGAGTCTGTCATTAATCTTCTGACGGAGGCCAACCAACTTTACACGCATTTTTCTCTCCTTACGATGTAAAGTACAAAACAAATAACGGTTGTACAAAAGATGTGTTTATTCCTTCGCTCAATATTAGTACCTCTAATAAACTAAATTGCTTGGCATGGAAACCTACATAATGTATTTTTACTTTTTTTTAAATTTGTTTTAGATCCGTGAAATGACGAACAAAGACAGCACATACAAGCACGTTGGACACTTGGCTTTTGTGAAATACAAGTGAGTCCTTTAAACTGTTGAAAACACCTTTGACGTCATTAGAGGGGTGAACAGACTCATTTTGAAACTAGAAAGTGTACATAGTATCATACCAACTTGTGTCTATCATCCTTCTCTTCAATACGACTTCAATTCAACATCTCGGACCCCTGAAAACAAAAATAAAACACTGAAGTCCTTAAAAAAGGAAACGAAGACCCAAAACACGAACACGAAATCCCCAGAACACGAACACGAAGATCTCAAAACACGAACACGAAGACCCCAAAACACGAACACGAAAACACTAGAACACGAACGCGAAGACCCCAAAACACGAAAACCACGGCTCAACAACAGCAAAATGGATGCTCCAAAAACTGTCGAGCGAGTCAATTATTGAAACATGTTTTGACAGCGCTGTGTTTTCCTGCTTGTGAAACACAGATTTGGAAAATGTTGCATGAGTTTTATTCTTCCGCGATGAATGTCTGTTGATCGGCAGGGGGCGGCTTTACATTTCCAATAAATTTTTCGACAGTGAAAGACGTAATTGGCGGCTCACCATGGCTCGAAAATGGTAATACATGTAAACGAAAACCGCCACAAGCTTTCACTGTCCGAAAGAGTAATAATAACCATTATTTTCTCTTGTAGCGATGCAACCCATCACTTTCTAGAAGGCGAATTTTTTTGGTGAATTCAAAGGAAAGTGAATCTACAATACTGTTAACGGAAGTTCGTTTACCTGCGCTGATTACCCATACCGCTGATTACCCATACCGCTGATTACCTGTGGAAAGTGATTAGCATCTGAAATGTTTCTATATTGAGGTCAAATAACACTGGTGTGCAATACTTCATGAGAGGTTATTACAACTTCCGCATGTTTGATTTTTTTTTTTTTTAAAGCAAAATCGCGTCAAAACCGATCATAACTTTCAAACGCGTGCAAAATTTTACAAAGGCCAACATTGAGGAACCTCGTTGTGGGGTCTTCGCTCTCCAATCTTCGTACTTGGGGTATTTATTTTCTTCCCTAGCACCTTGCGCTAATTCGAACCAGTATCAGTTTTCCTGGATTTTCATAATCCATTTACTGCAGACTCGAAACGCTCGAAATCGAACCTGTTTTCGTTTCGGAACATTTTCTTTAAATTTTTGACCTTGATAATTTGTACGTGACTTTCGCGGACTACTAAATTTGAACTTGTGGGGCTCACTTCCTCCTGTGGTGTAGATTTTTCTTGCATCTCCCTCATTACTAATGAATAGCATCGTTCGTTTGATAAGAGTTTTAAACGTGCTAGGACTAAAAGTCTGTTCCTATATCTTCCTACACCTATGTTTCACGATGAAATTTGCGTCCTTTTATTTACAGGTCTTCGTACGAAGAACCACGTTGCGAAGAAGGCTTTGAAGAGATTGTTAAAGTAAACTTTGTACCAAGGTTTAAAGACGATCGCGTGAAAGAATTGTACATGCAGTTTCATAACTGAGTTTCAAGTCAAAGTGACCAGGGAGAGTCACATAATTCAAAAACTGAGTGCGTGGCTAGCATGTAGGGTTGAGTACGCATACCTAGCGAATCATCTCAGCAGCGCACTTTTGACTTTTTTACCTATGACTTTTCTGTCAACACGTGGACCTTTCAGTGGTTACAAGAGATTACAAACTGATCTCTTGGTGGTAGTTCATGGCGTATTTCTAACGACTTTCGGCTGATTTCCCTGGCTTTTCACTGTTTTTCCTTTTGGTAAAAATCACGAGGCGAAAAAGGGAAGTAAAGGTTACTTTATCAAAACAGCTTATAATCGTTAATGATCGTTCTAGTGATTCGTAACAAGTTTCTAAATTGTCGAAATAATGAAAGATGCGTTAGCGTCTGCGAAGAAAAATATTACAGAGAGAAAATATTGACACAAACATAGCCGACCAGCTGATCTGAATTGAAGCTACGATGGGTTCGCATCCCCAGTTCATCTATGGCTAACAGTTTTCAGGCTGTTGCTGTCGTTTTTCTTTTCGTATACCTGTCAACTTTCGTGATGTGCTAACGAGCTTAGTAAACACCCCTTGCGTTAGGGACAAGGGTGCTTGCTCTTCTTGCTAATTCAGTTAATAAACGACAACACGGTCCGATTCAATTTTAACAGTTAGGTCTAAGATAGCGAAGATCAGCCGCTGAAAGAGGCTTAAATTTGATATTCGTGGATCGTGTAAAGGATCCAGTCCTATCTATTGCCCTTACTAGTGGAGAAGAACTTTCTGGTTTTTAAGTTTCTTTGAGAAATCTTCCATTAGGAAATTTAGGAAGAAAATCAAATCAATCACATGTAGTGCAGGACGGTTTAACGTGTAGAAACTATCTTTGGCAAGTCAGATGGGAAAGGCAATTACGATACAAATTTTGGCTGATGCAATTTTAAGTGGCGAAAAGGAAAGGTGAGGACGATCTTGTTGGATTGTTGGGGTTAACTAGCTTGAGAAATTAGCGCAAACGGGAGGCACGAGAAGTCCGATCGGCAACTTTTATTAACTCTGCCTAAAGACTCTTAATGGCTCTTCATCGGAAGGACTAAATCTCCGTGTCTCTACTTTAGCCTTGTGGCTACCGATTCGTTTCCGATTCACGTGACATTTCCTAAGGGATTTTTCGTTTGCGCTTGCAGTTTGTAGTTGGCGTCGAATATGACAGCCCTGAGTGCACCCTCCTAAATATCCCATCGGTAGGCATGCCTGTGCTCACGGGACATGACGTTGGCAGAGTAAATATATTTTTAACCCACAATAACATAAGGAATTCGAAATATACAAAGTACTTAAAAAACTCTTAATCCTCGAGAACTAAAAGCTTAGCAAAACTTCCTGTGAAGGACTCGAAGTAAGGTCAATGACAGATCACTCAAAAGGTTAAAATAAATGTGTGGTCTTGCAGCACAGAACAAACCAAGGCTCACAAGACTCGCATAAGGATTTAAAGATAATCTAACAGGCCTAAACAATTTCCAAACACTTAGCCAGAACATTCCTAATTTCGTAATTCCCAAGTACCTCTAATTTTCGTAGTTTATAACAATTTACAGGCAAATAATGTACATTGGTACGGGGAAATTTCAGTTAAAAATTAGACTGGTAATAGGCTGTTTTGAAGCTCGATATTTCAGCATTTCAAAATTCGAAACGAGAGAAACGTTGTGTATTTATCGTCTTTTATATATTTCTCGTTTTTATTTATTCGTTCTTTATTTATTTGTCTGTAAACGTGTCAAGTTCAACTTTTGAACCGGGCATTACGCAGTTAATAATGAAATTAGTGCTCAAGGCTATGGGCTCTTCTTTTCTTAGTTCCGATTCATTTACATCTTATCGGAAACTGTGGAAACTAATGTGAGAAGTGTGCTGTCGATATTTGCTTCGTAGTGAGACTCAAAATCAAATAATTCCAGAAGTCGTAATCCTAATTGCACTCCTCCTCATACCAAACGAGAAATCCACAATTTTTTAATTCGTCACGTTCTTCCATGTGGACGATCAGTTTAGCTGAAATCACCCATTTTTCTTTTCATGGTAAACATGTTAGCAACAAATATGTTTTGACGTACTTCACCAAGTACATTTGGGTCACAAAGTCGGGGGAACTAGCTGCGGACCGCACCACGCTCAGTGAAAGGCTCCAAGGACTCTCAAACTGTCCTAAACTGTATTTCTGTAATCTCTCGGTTCTGTTATACACAACTGATTAATTCTGCTTACATCTAGTTTTACTTCATTCTATGTAACTCTGGTTAATATCTTAGACACCACACTTTCATTCTCACAGAAGAGTTCTCATTGACTAACTCACCTCTACTATTGAATCCTATCTACTAAGAAAGTTCTAAAGTACATGTTTATATATTTGCTATCGGTGGGGATGGGTGGGCATGCTAACTGAGTGGCCTTGGAAGATATACATTTATTGTTAGAACATTAACCCAAACTTACATAAATCTCGCAAATTAACAACGATACACTTAGTGGTTCCGATCCACCGTGTCAACCTCTGACTGCGAAAGGTCTGAAAGAGTCTTGGCGCCTGATAGGTCGCAACGGGCAATGTTATCGTTGAGCTGTTTCGATTAGTCAGAAGTTATAACGATACATTTCCTCGTTTTTTCTCTTTTGATCAGGATCGATAATGCTAAATTGTTGAGATGAAAGCGAGCTCCACGCGTCACCATAACACCAAAACAAATAATTTATACAGTGTCTTAATTCGTCTCCACTGGTTGTCTCGCGGTCCTTTTGCAACCACGTGAGACATTAGACACTCTTGAAAATATTGACAGTCTTCATTGTTAAAATTTGCATATTACTACTTTCATCATAATTTGTACGCAAATGATCATAAACTGACCATGATAGTATTGAATCTTTACCATTCTGCTATACTTTTGGTTGGAGTTATAGTAATTAGCTCAAAGATCTCAGGTAAGAATGTTCATTAATTTGAATGACGAAGCACACCGCATATCATTGTTAAGTCGTAACATTCCAATTAGGTCTTTTCTTATTCACGGTGGCATGGATAAACCTTCGTAATTGTTTCCACCGTGAAGTTAGGAAAGTCCTTGCTGCAAGAGGAGAGGGAATAAGAAAAGGACAGAGTTTAAAATTGGTTTTTTCCATGATAATTATAACTATACTATATTATTAAATCTGTTTTTACGAAGGTTAAAATCCACGCTATTTACATGTGTTCGACGTTTTATCATCACTTGATCTTTTTTTTTTTGGTCGCGAACACGTTTTAACTTGCTCTATTTTCCTTTTTTTTTTTAAACTGATATGAAGATGGTAGAGCACGCAATTTCCCAAGGAGTTTATTTTTCATAGATTAAAAATGAATTCTGGATTTGGGTTAAATGGTATCCTCTTTGCGCCTAACTGAATTAAGATTACTTGGACGACCACAGTAGTAAATAAACGATAGCACTATTTGCTAAGAATAAATTAGGTTCCTCGAGATATTACTTTCTTGTTATGAACTAGGATGGAGTGAAAATCTGTGAAGTATTTGAAGTGTCGCAATTTGCCTCAATCGCTCCAACTGAAGAATACTGTTCCCTACTAAGATTTGGGTCTTTTGATAATTGTATTATACTGACTGTTTAACTCGTCGTGTGATTGATCGGTGCGATTAAAAGCTATTTCTTCTCGCCTTTTTCAGACGTCACACTTTAAAAGAACTTTCTCTTGTAACATATCTGGTTTGTGTCTATTTATATGGGACCATAGGGGAACTCGAACTTAACCGGGAAATTTAAATTTCAAGCAAAGGTTGCTTGAAGCGTGAGGTAGAATGTAATGGAAAACATTTATTTGGGCAGTCTCCGATAGAATATCAGGATTTCTCTTGTTTAGTATTGATGCAAAATTCCATCAATTGCTTTTGCCATTCTGTGTTCTCACACATCTGAAATCATTTTCTCGCCTGATCTAGTCTTATTTTGTTGGATACCTTGATTGGGGTAAAACCCAACATTTAACTGATGTGTCTCTTACATTCTTTTTATCCATCTTGGTGCGTGGTTTGCGTGATTGAAAGAACTTAATACATCTTGCAACAGGTCTTTCTGACTATTATCATCGCTGGCTCGGACCCGCAAACCAACAGGTGTAACTGTGTCGAATTAAACAATAGAATATATTTCAGTGTTGCTTGTGCAGGTTTATATGTCACGATAGCTGCTTTGATTAACAAGGTAATTCCCCTCTCTATGGGATTGATGGCATTTCATTGAATGCTCCGTGACAGGCAACAGAATGAGCGGATCATAACGAAAATAAGTGAAAAGGAATGATTTGCAAACACTTTCGTTTCTTATTTACATTGAGCTAAATTGTTCCACTAGGTACCTCTCAGTCACCATCAGGTATCATTGTTGAAGCAGTACAGGGTTCGGATTTTGTCATAATATCATGGAAATATCAAGAAAGCGCTAAGTATTACAGAATCTTCTTCAAAGGATTTAATTCAATGCAGGGAAACTCAAACAGTCCACCACACGAGGTCGGTCCAATGCCAGTCTACTGTTTAGCGGATAACACTACATGTAGTTATTGTGTGTCAAACATTGACAGGGATGTCTCGTGTAACAAATTTAACCAAAATTATCACGTATCTTTGCTTGAGAGCAAACTGGAATACGAGGAGCCCGTGAGCATAAAAGTTGAAGCTTGTACTGATGTATACCCTGACTCATGCCAGAGTCATAATGAGTGGATCAATTATACAATTCCAGCTGGAGGTAATTGGGTTAAATTTGATCTGTCACCTTTACGACATCTCTAGTTTTACCTGCAAACTGTCGTACGAATATCACTTAAAAAGGTTAAATAGCTACCTCATCTTCACCATAAATCATCACATTATTGTTAACTTCAGTTTTTAAGATAAGAAATTCTATTTGAAATTCCTCCGAGCCGTTCTACGCAGTTTTAAGGGTATCGTTATCATAATCTGTTTTGATATGATGAAGAGAGGTTTGGCAATCCGAGCTTACTGGCACCCCTCAAACACAACAAAACTAACCCTCAATTGAAATAATGAAATGTTAAACGAACTGTTTCTTCTTAATTTCGAGTTAACATGCATTTGCATTCGCTCTATATGAGGACGACGACGACGATGATGTAGGCCAACGCAACATAGGAAACCTTAATTCTTCTTCCTTTTCTTGACCTTCCTTGTCAGACTGACTAAACACCTTTTATTCCCCTAAGCACCTAGTGCAGTGAGGGATGTACATGCAAGGCCATTATCATCCAAAACGGTCGAAGTCACGTGGTCTCCCCCTAATCAAACAAGAGGAACCATTGTAATGTACACTATATTGTACAAAACTGATCACGTAAGTTGAACTCTGTTTTTTTCACTAGCTTATTCAGTGAAAAATAAAAGCAGGCATTTTATCAAAAATTTTGAGAAAAGCATAAACTTCCCTTACATGTGTAAGGCGAATGAACACTTGAAAGGATTCCCTTTACTGTCTCCACATTACAGGCATCACTTTGACTAACGTATATTGAGATACAGGTTCCCTTTCGTTCTTAACAATTGTATGTAGCCGGTGGGAGCAAAGGAAGACATTCAGTACAGGGACATTTGATATTAAATTTTCCTGCAGTTTTGTCCCAGCGTGCGTTAATCATTCAAAACTGACTTCTTTTGCTCTGCTCTAGGTCCGTTTACAGTATTTTCTCCCCTACTGTGCACGCTTGAATCACCGAAACTAATGTTGCTTCTTGTAAGCTAGTGTTTTCACGAAACTTTCCAGTTGAGTACTTGACAACGTCACTTTTTTAATGCAAGTTGGGGGGACATCGTATAGCCGAATAGCTTAGTAACAGCCTCAAGCCAAAATTAACAGGGAGACCAAGCTGCTGCTAGCCGAGTGCAACTTTTGATTCACATTATCTGAAATGGTAGCATGAGGATAGCTACTGTAATTTTGGAGCACTACCTTTTATTTATTTCTGTAAGATACATGCTCAAGCGTGCATGCAGTGGCGCAGATGGCACAAATGACGAAATTAGCAAATTTCTCCAGAGTTCGATATAATCATTAAATAAAGCAAATATTTTTGTTGTCTCCAATTCAGGTCATATGTGTTTTTAAAGTTTAAGTTGATTCAGTTTCAAATGAAGAGGTGGATGTTACATATTTTGGTATAGGGTATGAAAATGGGCGAAGAATTCAGACGTGTATCAAGAGCAATTATCACGGGCTTGAGTGCAAAAACGACTTACAGTGTTTGGATGACAGCCTCTACGGCCAGGAAAGAAGGCGCAAAATCCAATATCATCACTGTTCAAACATGTAAGAAAATACTGAAATCTTCCACCTGTTTATATATTCGTTCATCTGAGTCTGAAATCCCTTTCCGTGAAGCTTGGACAGGAAACCCAAAAATGTCTGACGGAACGTCTGTTCACGACTTTCGTGTAAGCTCATTCGCTTAAGCTGATGGCGTGCCGTCTTGAGAAAATTTTGAATTGTTGCTGTGATTAGTTTTTTAATAGATTACGAACAACGCAAGACTAGTTTACCTTTATGTAATATCAAGGCGTTGTTATGGACGAGGAGTGGATAGTGTTGTTTTATTTCTTGCACCTATTTTCCTTTAGATGAAGACGAATGTGTGTCTAATCCTTGTCAGCATCATGGAAAATGTCACGTGGATGGCATGTCCTATTTGTGTAATTGTTCAAGAGCCTGGGAAGGAGCAAACTGTGAAAGTAAGTGAAAAGTACTTAGATTTTATGATCAGTTGCAAGTGGTGATTTTTGACATAAAGGTGACTCAGTCTTCAACTCCCAGCACCTACCTCAGTTCAAAAGAGAACTTGACTAAAATCTGCTTTTCAGTGTAATTTTTCCACCCTTACCCATATCGAAGGTGTTATAAACCCCATCAAACTGACGTCGTTTTACTGCAGGTGAGAGACAAAAAATGCCTCTTTGACTTACACTTAACCAAGAATTCGTTAATATTGACAAAGCGATGGAGCCTCGGCAGGTAAAAAATAAGAGGACACAAAAAGGCTTACTTAATTCTACCAAAAGTCTGTTAGGTCTACTCCTGTGTTATTATTAAAACTGCAGTCTTTATTTGTTTCCTGTCCTCAAGAATTGTTGTCTTATTTCAAATGTGATTAGTGTTCGGTATTTTGAAGACCATTTCAGAGACAGGTCTCTTGTATCCTTGACTTTTGAGGACAAAATTTTTGGTTTGCATTTATTCACATTTTACGTATTATTCATGATATGTATATATTTTTTTGCAGTTCCTGAAAGTTTTGCTATGCAGAAAAACCTCTGTATCGACACAGGAGGAGGAAACAAGCTTCCTTTTCAAACAAATGTTTCCTTGGAGTTTTGCTCCGGAAAGTGTAGAGAGAATTTAAGGTAAGGGGAATGTGCAAATACACCCACACACACCCACACAAACACCTATTAAAGGGAGTCCTCTGAAGGTAGCCTAAGAACATTTGCTTTTGAGAACGTATAACGCTGGCAATGAAAAACACCTATGTGTTTGTGTACCACCGAACATATTGTACGTAAGTTGTTTCACTTATCCCAAATAGCTTTAGTGTATGAATTTTAAAGAAGGAGAGTTGAAACTCATCAAACCCAAAAGCGACCTGAAGTTTGGTTAAATAGTTTGAACTAATCGAGTCCAGAAAGCATCTGGAATAAAGAAAAGTTTCCATTTCAAAAAACTATACCATTCCAACTACTTGCGTGAAGATCAGAAACTCCTCTGTAATTTTCTTTCTCACGAGATGTACCTTTCTTGTGTTCAATCAGCTGTAAATCGTTTGAATATGGACTGGGATATGAAAATAATGGAACATTCGTTAAATCTCTTCGTCGACATGGTCTTGGAATATGCAAAATGCAAGGAGTGGACGCGACAGAGAGAGTCCTTATCGCTTGTAACTATGACTACTATGGGAAGAGAACTCCTGTGTCAGCAGGTTCAATATCTTCTTTGCCATATAAGGCGCTTATAAGAACTTTAGCGTTAATGTTTCTTCTCCAGAAATAGCAGGGGGCGCAAAATTTACAATCAGCGCCAGCTTTAATGTAAATAATGCACCGTGATGTACAAAATAGATTACATGCTCCTGAATGTAACTGAATGCATTACATGTACCGCATGAGCCCAGCTAAAAGCCCTTCCAATGGTCTTGACTTATCTATAACAGTAGTTCAAGTTATGTCCTCTTTGGTGAGAGTTCTTCTCTTTACGCTTTACATACTGTTCTTAATAATGTACATGAAAAAAAAAAGTGCTTCTTATCAGCTGAAAACGAGTGCATTGTCATGCAACACGAGTGCAAAGTTGAAACACGAGTGCAAATTACAAATAGCGCGCGCACGCTTCCAAAATTTCATCTGTCTTGACCTTCTGCGATGTCTTTTCATGTACATTATTAACAAGTAGTAACGTGATTTCGAGTGCAATTTGGTGTAGGCGACGACGGTAAAAAGTAGTCATCAGTTGTTACCACTATCCTTTTCAGATCAAGGATGACCTAAATACAAAAAGAACATGCTACGAGCAATCATTACCTTCTTTTAGGGAAGTTTCTTTCATTATTATTTTTTTAAGAAAGGAAAACAGTCTTAAAAAAGGGGGGTAAATTTCTGGGGAAACTGTGGTGCTGCGTCGGTGTGGGAGTGTAATAAGATAATGTGTTTAACAAATGAGTTCATGATGTAAGTTGGCCACCGCTGGCCACCGTGAAGAGTTCGTCAGAGAAAAGAGTTTAGAGTTTCTAAATGTTTGATATAGTTCTTACGTTCTAAACTGACTTTTTTATTTCTTTCACCATCAAATATACTTACTTATGGTAAGATAATAGTTCTTCTTTGGTTGAGGGCGACAAATTACAACATTTCATGTTTTTGTTTTCAAAGTCAATTTATCTGTTGTTGTTAGTCAGTCATGTAAATTGTTCAGTCCAGCATTGATCGTCTGTTCTGAAGACTTGAGGTCCTTGTCAACATAAAGAATATAAGTGTCATTCGCAAATAAGGAAAATTTAATTTTATTTGAACATAAGTAAATGTCATTTAGATAATACGACTGGAACTACTCGGTAATAATTCCCCATAAACCATAAAAAAATTTTGTTTATCAAGTAGTATTTTGTGATTGACAGTGCCAAAAGCCTTTTTTAAATCAATGGTAATACCACATGTAATGCTTACCTGTATTGTTCTGCATAGTTTTAACAGTATCAAGGATCACATGATTTAAGGAGTGTGTCTCACGGAAGCCATATCATGAGGAATGTTTTATCATGTTTATGCCAATAAATTCCTTCATTCTTTAATACAGTAGCTTTTCAAAGATTGACTTGCGATTTGAAAAGAGAGAAATCGGTCGGTAATTAGAAGCATCAGTCTGTTCCTCACTTTTTAAGGTAAGTGTAATTTTTGAGATCTTAAATTTGAAGGGTGGACACCAAACGTAAGAGAAGTTTCAAAAATTTTCGACTGGACAGGAGATAAAATGTCGCATGAGCAATTAAGACATTGGGCAGGAAAAGAGTACAAACCATATGATTTGTTGTTTGGTAGTAATAAAACGTCCCATTGCCTCAGGACGTCATCTGGGGCAATGGGCCGGTTAAAAAAAAAGAAAGAATCAGGTGATTTTAATAATTGAGATAATCCATATGATTACTTTTCGTGGGTAGTTTACTTGCTAGTTTGGTGCTCACACTTGCGAAATGTTCATAAAGAATGCTTGGTATGTGTGATGGGTCACTCATGACTTGACTGTTATTATTTGGGTCTCAGTATAATTTGGTTCTCATTTTATGATATCTGTTTTGGTGGTTTAATCATTCATTGGTTCCTTACCACGTTTTTTTTTTCATATTATATTTACCTTTTTAATAAACAATCAAAGTTATATTGCTTTTGCTTAATCCCTTTGATTTAAAAGTGTCTTTAAAGCGGAACCACTCAAATAAAACATGTTCATCTCCCGGAATCCGTTCCAGAAGTATTCTGATCAGCAAGTTTAAAAAAAAAAAGCGTTTTTATCATTCTTTCGCAGAGTTCTGAGAATTTCGCACACGTTAGTTTAGTAATCTTGGACTGTGTATTTTCACTTGATTCAGGCTTCATTGTTGCTAATTCAGCATTACACGTTCCGTTGTACGATCCACCTATTGTATTCCAATTTAACTCAAGGTTGCAAAAAGTGCTTCATCTGTTAGCTAAGGAAATCCTCAGCTACTTAATTCCGTGTGGGATTCAAGGCTTGCTCACGTTCTACAACGGTTCGTGGGCACTAATTTCCTATTAAACATGGGTTGTGTTCCTACGCGCTTAAGTTGCTTAACGCCCTGGAAATACTTAATTAGATATATCACTGTTCGCAGAACTCACTTTATTATCCTTTACCTCTTCCTACTTTAACGGTGACGTTAATAATTTACTTAAATGGTACAAAAATTTTACTACACGGTAACGAAATTATAACTTACTAGATACACAATTAAAATATAATAAATAAAGGAAATCAGTTTTGAGCGTAGAAACGCTTCAAGGCATTCTTCCCCCTTTGACTCGTCTACGAGTGAAGTATTTTAAGTTTGTGTTTCATCGCGCATCTGCTGCTGCAGCGGGTCTAGGGCTACTCCTAGGACCTTCTCGACCCTCTTGAGCACTTTCCCGTGGTACTTTGGATGGGGTCTCGCTTCGCACTTCAACGGGGTAGAGTTTTTTAAGGAGTCTGGACATGCGTAAGGACTTCTCTTTAGCAATGACTCGAATGTTTGCACCCTTAACTACGTCATCTTTACCTTTGACGAGACTCTCTATAACTGCCGTTCTCCACTCTAAACGCTTCTTATTCTCGTCGAAAACTGTGACTACATCTCCACTCTCTGCGCTCTTTGCATTTTTGCCTGCCTTACTTGCGTAAGTTAGCCATGTACTCACGGCTCCACCGATTCCAAAAATGTGTTAATCTAACGCTCAAATATGTAAATCTTAGAGTGTATCTACTCTCATCTTCTTCGCCTTCAACAATTTCGTCTGGAATTGTCTTGATTCTTCTCCTGAAGATCAAGTGCGATGGAGTCAGAACTTCTTTGCCTACTTCGTCGAACTCGTAAGTGGATGGGAGTTCAAGGTCTCTTCCACTTCGATCAACATGGTAGACAAAACGTCGAGGTAGCCTTGCATCACCCAACACCTTTCTCAGACGACGCTTCACACATCGAAAAACTCACCCCACCTTTGGGGGGCCCGCTTTGAACTAAACTTCCATTCGTCTTTTGCCGAACGACTCTTTTTTGCCTGAATTATTTTCGGTCCCTCCATGTGCAAATTCTGAGCTCACAAACTCTCACTTTCAAACTAAAGTAATGTGCAGAACCCTTTCGGTGGAAATGCGTATTATTTCAACGGTGACGAGGATGAAAAAATCACTTTCTTATCAGAGGATCTGCAGGGTTTCGCGCCTTTGAAAACCTCGGAAATGGCCGACAGAGTCCACCACAATCTTGAAATAATACATTCTTGTATCATTGGATTTCTAAATGCCCTTCACCGGAACGCTAATTTGTCAACATTTGAAAGTGTAATCTCCTAGGTAGGTCACCCCCATCAGTTCATTGAATCCTGAACTGGGTAGCCTGGACTCAGTCGTTAATTAACACTAACCATGAATAAGAAATTGATCCTTTTCCCAAAAAACCTTAGTCTAAGAATTAACATTAAAGTAAACAGATTAATGAGGTTATCAAATAGTGAAATGAACGGACTGGCCGTTTAAATGAAAACATATGATCATGAGGCTGAGCTCCACTTTAATCACAGTGCATCTAAAATCACGTTTGCTCATTCCAAGTGCATACAATAATTTAAGAATGAAATTATCTTCCTTCGTCACAATGTACACTCTTTAATATACATTATTCCTAGTTTTGAAGTGTAGAATTCTGTTGTAGAGTTATCCAAAGATGCTTCTTCAAAGCTCGTTGTATCTAAAGTACCTTTCTTTGATCATGCTAATAAACTTTTCTAAAAAAATTTGCTCACAAAATTCTATCAGTGAAAGTTAAAGAGACCAAGATTTTTTCTTTTTTCTTTTTCCTGAGCAATTATGAAAGTTACACCTTTCATTAATCAGTAGATCTTGAACTATTTTGTTACTAAAAGAGACTTTAGGTTGAAGGACCATACAGTTGAAACTGGCTTTACCCTTAAAGGGGGAACCAAAATGGCAAAATTTCCTCTTTGACAGATAATTCAATCTGTTCCAAGAAATTATTTACATTTGTGAATATAAGTGTTTAAAGAGATGCATGTCAATCATAACTCCTTCCTGTACTGTCCAACCAGACGAAGACGGGGATAAATCTGTGGATCAGTTCCCTTAGGAATGGCTGTCTGACTGAGACTGAAATAGGGTGCAGAAAGAAAATAAATTAGGCCATATTCTTTGACAATAAAAATAAATCAATATTGCACTCAATTGAAATCTATACACATGCAAACTTGCCCCTCAAAAATACTTGCAGTGAAAGGCTTTCTGCATTTTTGCAGCTTAACACACTTATCAGACTTCCCTGAAAACATTTAGCAATAGAAAGAGGTGGAATGGAAAAGAAATGAAAATTAAAATCTCATTTGAAACCTGAATCTTTGCTTGGATATCAAAAATGGAAGCACAGTCAAACCTGTATCAAGCAGTCACCCAAGGAGAATGGTGGGATGACTGCTCAATACAGGTTCCAGTTCTCTGATAGAAAACTCCACTCAACCCTTTGACTCCCAAGATCTCATTAGCAATTCTCCTTACTGTCTGCCATAAAATACATGTACTTATGATTTTGATTTGGAGAATTTGGTATTGGATCAACATGTAGTTCCCTAATTGAGTTTTCCTCTTTATTCTCATCACTTGTATGCTTGATACTGCATTGATAATGTAAGGAGAAATTATCTCTTGGTCACTCATGGGAATTAAAGGGTTAATGTACAAACCCTTGCTTAAAAGTACTTCAAACATTGATTTCAGGAAAGAAATATGGATTAAATTTAACTTGAAAGATTCTTCTTTGATCAATTTTAGTGGTTCCCCTAAAAGTGACTATTCAATACAGGTGGAAAACAATGCAAACAGGCCCTTGGGACTCAGTAAAGGGTAACCATGGCTGCATAATAGAGGTAAAAATTACAATAACTTTAGGACTTTGAAGACCTACCACTTAATACAGAGTGACTGCTTAATACAATACCCCTCACTAGTAATGCAGGTTTGACTGTACTTACTAAATTCCCTCCAGTGAAGCATGTGAATGTGCACTTGTCATAAGCAGCTTAAATGTTTCTTCCTTAAGGGCTACATAACATTTGAGGTATTTGTCATCAGCAAATGTAACTGACTGTCTCCATTTTTCCAGGTATTTGAGACCTGATAATCCACAAAAGAAACAAAATAAATTATATTAACCCTATGAAGTATTGATAAATAGTTGTGCAAAAAACAGATGGTACAAGTCAGTTTGTTTGGTGAAACATGATGGAAATAATTATAACACTCTGTATCAAACTCAGTAGGCTATCACAGTGTGCAACAAGCTACGATTTATTTTGCTAGGCCTGAGTTACTTGGTAGCTCTTTACAAGACCACTGTGTAACTTCCTCTTTCAGCCAAAAGTTTTTGAGAATGAACAAGAACATTCACTCAACCAATCAGTTAAAAAATGCAATCTTGATACATGTGAATCATCTGAGCACACTGACAAGAAAATTTATACAATAATGGACCAGGGAACTCATCTTGATGCCTAGGGGATATACTCAGTGCAGTAGACCTTAGTTAAAATGAGAAATCAATATCACTAGATCAATGTTAGCATCAGTGAATTTTATAAGCTTGGATTCAACTGTAGATAATATTCATGCAATAATCACTAACAAACCCAAAAAATTTTAGCAACCACCAGTCCTGTTTTATTTACCATATCCCCTCATTAAATTTTTTTTTATTCTCATTACTTGTCTGTTTGATATTGTACTGAAATTGAAAGGAGAAATTCTGTCTTGATCACTCATGGGAATTAAGGAGTAAAGTTGCTACATGAAAATTTGTTACCTGGAAATAATTTGGTCGCAGGACTGAACTCCAAAGACCTGGCAGTTTCTGTAGGTTGATCTGAAGGATGCTGTGCCACAGGACTCCAAAGGTACAGATGCCTCAGTTTTGGCAATTCACATAACTTTGTGCCAAGTTCAGAAATTCCTTCTTCACTGAGCAGGTTGCCCTTAAAATCAAGGCACTTCAATGACGAGAAAGATTTAAATGAGGTAAAAAGTGCATTTAAACCTGCTTCAGTGATGTTGTTGTATCCCAGACACAGTTCTTTCATTTGGCAAATGTAGGGAGCAACAGTTGCTAATGCTGCAACACCAACATCCGAAATGCAATTAGACTTCAATGATAGTTTGCATAGATAAGGTGTACAATTGAAGCCCTCACTAAGAGTCACAAGTCCCTTGCATGTGATCTGATTTTTGTCTAGAAGCAGTTCTGAGAGGCCAGGTACACAGGGAAGGGCACTTGCCAAACTTTCAGCACCTTCATCTTGAAAGGCATTGCCAGATAAGTCTAAATGGACAAGCCTTGGGGTCTTTCTAACACAGTCTCCAACAAACTTTCCTTGATGTAGCAAGTTTGCAGAAAGATCCAACCTTGTCAATTTTGGGCAGTGTGCAAAGGCTTCACCAAGGACTGTAAAAATGATTCTAGAAGTCTCACTAGCAACATCTGTCTTCCGATTTACATCATGAAGGGATAGATTTTCCAGATGAGGGACCTTGGGCAGTCCACCTGTCA